TTACAGCGGAGTTGTACTATGGAATAGTCTGCCCTTGAATATTAGACAATCGCTCTCCCTTAATCAATTTAAATCTAAGTTGAAGAACTATGATTTTGAATTTTATTTTGTTTTTATACACGCCTTCCTTGTAAAGCAGGTTTTCATCATTTCTCTTATTCTAGTAGTTATTTACAATATTAAATTAGTTAGGTAGTTAGATTTATTTAAATTAAATATTGTATAGTCCTGAAGGAAATACCGTGTCTGAATAAAGATTTTACCTTAGTCCACGCAGGGTTACCCCCAGCATTAAGTTCGCCGGTACCCATTTATACATCTCGGTGGAGAGAGGCACTCTGAGAGTAAAGTGTCTTGCCCAAGAACACAACACAATGTTCCCCGCCAGGTCTCTAACCAGGACCACTCGATCCGGAGACGAGCGTACTAACTGTGAGGCCATCCCCCCCCCCCCCCCTCCCCACCCCCCCCCCCCCCACCCCCCCCACCCCCTCTACCAATTGTCACCTTCAATTTATAAAATTTTTTGAATTAAAATTCACGAAAGAGCACCGTAGTTATGCAGTTACGTACATAATTGAGATGCACTTCACGGCAACTCGTTTTCGTCTCCAGACCTCACCGAAGCCCTCCCACGAGAGATGGAAGGTCCTCCGTCTCCCGCGCGAAGGTCCCGCCGGCAAAGGGAAGCAGTGCCCAGAGGACAAGAATGCAGTGCCGCTGTGCTGCATTTTCTGAGGGTAGTTCGTTTTACAGTACATACACGTATGACGTCAAGCACGAATGACAACAGGAGCTATTTATGGCCGTCCCAATGCGAGATGATACAAGATAAAATTCTAGAACTTTTCACAAGTAAAGTGGATTTTAAAGAGATTTTAAAAATGCAACGTAATGATGCATATGATTTCTCTACAACAATTTGCTGAATACGTCGACTCGAGGGGTGATTATTTATAGGAGATCTTGAGGAGTTCGCGTTGACTCACTCTTCCCCCTCCCCCCGCCCCCCAACACACACACATATATATTAAAAGTCTTCGCCATACCGTATCGTAATAGTCGAAAACTGCATCGAAATCTTCCCTTGACAAGGCCGGCTTTCCCTGAGAAAAAAATAAAAAAACCGAAAAGATTAATGAGTTCAATCCAAGGTGGGCCAAGGTGCCTAAGACGGTCTTCCATTTTTCCGGAGGCCAAGCACTCATTTTCACCTCTGGACTTAAACGTCAAAGGAATTGACCCGAAATACTGATTACGTTTCTCTGGGAGGAAGGGTTCAGGAATTCCTGGTTGGTCACTACTCGGTTTTGCCGGAGGTTTTCTTTTATTGACCGTGTGTGTAGCGACCCGTCAGAAGCAGTATATAGATGCTCGTGACTGTTACTCAAAAGTGGGGGAAAGGGAGATAGTTTAGCGCGAGTTTAGGCTACAAACACTCATGGAACAATACAAAATTGCCTTAACCGTTGACAATAGACAAAAGTGTGGCCATCTGTTCGGCGGTGAGATCGGAATAATTCTTGAGCGTATCTATAGTGTTTTTTTCTTCTTCTTTTGTAAATCTAAGATAGCAAACTTTACTTGAAATAGTACGTACAGTGATAGACTAGTGACATACCTGGAACTTTGCAAAGAAGTTATCTTTTTCAGGCAGGATCCTAAACGCGATAAAAAATTATTAGGACATATAACTTAATTCTTTGTCGTTCTTTTGTTATGTCGAGACAACGTTTCTTTCTTTCCTGCCTTTTTTATCTCAGACGTTATAAGGTACATTGCTGATTTGCTATAATTCATCTGGTCAGTAAGCAAAGGTGTTATCTTCTAAAGAAACTGTTGGCTGTGTCGACGGGCAAGTGGGCGGGGAAGTCAATGAAGGTGAATTTTAAAGGAGCTCTGGAGTCACGGTATTTTGAGTTATTTTGGCAACCTACAAAATTACCTTTAAATTGAAGGAATCCTGAAAATATTAGTTCACTAAAATACAGAAACACCAGAGAGGTAATAATAAACCACAAAGAAACAAGGATGGTTAAGAATGGAGAAGATTGACTCGGATTGCAAACGACGAACGTGAATATTTAAGATTCAAGATGCACGAAAAATTTAAGATGCGCAAACCGTGACGTGGCTCCGTTAAACTGAGGTAGCGAGGCTGACATTTCAAAAGATAGCAATTCGCCAGAGCATGGGGTAAAAGTGGATGAAGTGGGGTCTAATTTGATGGCTAGGTTTTAGGCCCGGCCTGTCCCAAGTTGCATCATCCGTCACTAGGTCCTGTAGGAGCGCCTGAGCGGGAGGTCCTGCAGGGAAACCTTAAGAACAGTGAGGTGGCAGCAACCTTTGCTTTGACGAGAGGCTTCCACTCGAAATTTCAGCATCACTAACTGGCTATGGCGGTCAATTGTATCTTTATCACGCTCAAGAAGATAACAAGCTAAGCTAGTCAGTAAGCTTAACTAAAAACGTTTTCATGTTTCCCAAGATAGCTGGGTCTATCTAATGTACCTCTCCAGACCCTGCACTCGGTCTAGCGATGGTGGTGGCTATAGTGATCTAGGACAACACACTTACTTTCATAAAACAACGGCAGCAACAAGAGCAAACAACGAATTCTTAAAGGGAAATTGAAAAACAGCTTACCGAGAGAGTTCTTTCAATCCTATTTTCCCATCTTTGTTCTCATCATAGCGGTCCATCTAAGTGAAAGAAAACCACCACACGAAGTTAGGGTTGCAATTAAAAAAGCGTATACTTCCTAACTCAAGAGAGCAGTTCGCATTCTCGCACTCCCCTAATATAAAAGTGAAAATAGCCTTGCACAGTGATATATTTGATGTGCGAAGACTGCATCTTCTTACTATAAAATCTTTGTAGTCGGAAATTCGCTGCGGACTAGGGGAACTGCCTTGTTGTTCCAGCATGTCTTTGAGAAACGCTTCTATCTCCTCTCCTTCAAGGTAACCACTTCTGTCACTGTCGTAGTGATTCCAAATCTGAACAGGAATAAAAGAATATCTAACGTACATATTGAGAGCTACTCAAGGATGGTGCCTTACAATCGCTCTAAAAACGTTCTCAGGCTAAATATGCAATGAAACCGTTCAAATACAAATGGAAATACGAAAAATTAGCCGTCGTCGTTCGCGTTCTCCAAAATAAGTCTAAAATACACAGAACTTGGTTATTTCAAGTTGTTGTTTTGCTGAGCACGGCTAACAAATGTAATTAAAAATTACTCCACGAGCGCACGTTAGATATTAGATGGCAGATAGTTAACGAGGCGAGTTGGCTATAACCATCTCATATTCAACGAGCGCGAGCAGAATAGTCGTTTTATTAAAAACGCCCCCAAAGTTTAGAAAACTAAACTAAAATAACAACGCCCCAAAACATTACCCGTATGCTTACCATATTTGTAGAGTATGGTATAATGGGTCATGTACCAAGATGGCTAAGCCAATGAAAACTCTTGAATTGCATTATCCCATTATCCAGGTTTTAATCATTTGCATTATGTGTTTCACGTGACCACCGACATAGCCTAACAGTTTCTCCAGAAACTAATAGCTTTCTCATTTAACTATGTTCATTATGAATGGGGTCTATTTCACAAATTAACGGTTGAAGAAAAGCTGAATGTCATGACGATTTCAGGGTTAAAGATAACTCGTGAGTAGATAAGGGACTTGTTAGAGGACTGGAAGAACATAACAATGAACATGTGAAACTAAAAAAGGTAGGCATCGCGCCGACAGCATTTCTTCCTGCAGATTGCGCCTTACGGACGAAGGGTACTGAAATAAGTCTTACAAAATTATCCTCTCCTTCCAGACTAATTACCCTTATATCAACATCGCATTAAGCCTCAGCGTTCTTTTTCGCCGGCTCGTCTCCCTCAAATCGTTTAGCTCCGATAAGTGATCTGGTGGTTACCCTCGCCCAAAGCCATCAATTTTTTTCAAGAAGAGCTGTAATGGTCACGTTTGAAATCCACTTGTTTTCCTTACCTTGATAAATTGAATACTGTCCAATTTTTCAGCCTCGAACTCTTCTCGGAACTGATTCAAGTAGTTTTCCTCTGTAGGAAGAATATTCTCGAGCTAAAAAGTGATAAAAAGATCAAAACAAAAAAAATGTACTCACAACTAAGTAGTGTTCACAACTTATGAGGGAATTACGGCTTGAATGAAAGCGGGGGAAGTATCGTACACGAATCACCTTATGGTTTATTTAGAAAACAAGGGCGATGCATGATGACTAGGAAGCGTTGTCCTGTAATTGATTTCTGGGTGTGTCGGCGATGGATTCGCAGCATTCACAGCATTTTCATGGCAACGTAACGTCAACCTTACTGCATGAGCAGCAAAATTGGTGTTCGTAAACAAGAGGAAAATTTTGCACAAAAATATAGCTCATTTTCAAAAGGAAAAACAGCAGGCATGGCTGCCGCGCTCTACTTTGAAAGGTATTTTAGAGCAATGCTCTATACTAATTTAATGTTTATTGTAATTATTTTATAAATTGTGAGTACAATAAATGGTTGTTGTTGATATCTCCTATCTCTTCTGATTGGGTCTAAGGAGGTTTAAAGTCATTTTACGAGGAACCGAGGAAAACCAAAATTACCTAGGATATCTAAAGATCAGCCACATATTTTATACAATGTATCACAATACATTGAAAACAAAGTAACAACAATTTTTTCATTTCTTTTTGTTTTTCAACTCCTAACCTCGTCGATAGTGATAGGGCGACAATTTCGAAGTACATAGTTCTTTGTTGCCCAGGATTTAATAAGTAGTTTCCTAGGAGTTCGTCAAGCTGCACATGAATGTAATTGAAATGCCCTTTCACTTTTGACAATCGGTGGAAGAATATTGCCAAATAAATGCACTAATCACCCAACATTTTTTCCAACATGACAGCGAAATCATGAATGTTTACATAAACAATTATTACATTTGGTGGGTTCGTAACTAATCCTCCATAGGAACAAAGATAGCGACAGGTACATTCACCCATATTTCTTAGCGCATGAAAACGTTAACAACGCGCATAAAAACGTACAGAAATGTTCTAATATCATTAAACCTAGCATACACAATGTCATTAGCACGGGGACAAATATTGCAAAAATATGACTTCCCTTGTACTTTATGGGCTGTGTAAGGTTCGCATAGTATTGTGGTAAAATGTACAACCGCCATCTTTTTCTCCTACGGGGGATTCTTAAAGCCTTACCAGACTACAGAAGTTTCGACAACTATGTGAAAAATAATTTATAAAAAGCAAGTCGGTGTGTGAATGAAGTTAAAATTTTCCTCCTCAAATATTGTTGCATTTGTCGAGTAACCGTTGATCCGGCAATTAAATTACCGACAATGGCCAATTCCCTCTCTAAGACGTGCCTGCAGGGAATCATGGTAGCTGTAGTCATCAAAACAAATATCCAGTCCAAGACGATGAATACCATTACCATGATTCCCTGCAGGCGCGTCTCAAAGAGGGAATTGGCCATTCTCTTTATTCCTATCAGTGACGTACGCCATTATCGTGGCTGGCTTCGTAAGGTTAGCACTGATTTGCGTTTTTGTCCATTTGGGCAATGACTGACACTTGTTACGGTATCCGTGCATAAAATATCGCTTGCCGATAATTTGTTGGATAATGTAAAGAATTTTCAAGATCGCAACTTAGGCATTTTCGAAACTATAGCCTGAAAATATTCAGGCTAGAGCGGGATTTGAAACTATGACCTCTGCGATATCGGTGCAGTGCTCTACCAACTGAGCTATCAAGCCAACTGGGAACTGGTCACGTTGTGAGTTGGTAACATAATATACTCGTAGGTGGTGAATATGTTTTAGAAAAGTTGTATCGAGGGCAGCTGTTGTCCATACGTTTTAGTTCTCGAACAGTAACAGTTGTCCTTCTCTAGCTAGTCTGTCGCGGCTCCCGTTAATAACATCTTTAATTTGCTTACCTCTGTCATACTAATTTTACCATCGCAGTTGTCATCATATTGTTCGAGAATATATTCCTTGAACTTCGCCATTTCATCTGGAGAAGGTTTCTGAGAGCAAAACGGAGAAATATGTTTTGAGATAAGTGAACAATTCAATTGCTTTACAGTGATATTTCGCCTGCACCTTTATTTATAAATGAGGTACAGATTCTACTCAGTTGAACGCTATAACTTACACAGCGCTATTGGTACAGGTAATTGCAAAGCTACTGCGAATTAAACGGTCAGTCTTCCCCATTTTAAAACCTTTGCAATTCAAATAACCAGAAAAAGACAGGTGTAAACGATTTGTTTTACATTGAGGAGCAACTCTGCTGAAATATAAATGGGTTATCACCAAGGATCAGGTCAAGAAGATTGGATATTAGTCTCGATCTGGTGATAGACGCTGGTCTGAGCCAAGTCCGCCAGAGAAAATAACGAACAATCGTGGATAAATTACTCTCATCAAATACAAAATGCATTTTTTTACGATTTTCAAAACAAGCAAAAAAGAAAAAAAAAAAAAACTGAGAGTTTTTCAAGAGGCGAAAGAAACTTGTAGAGCATTAGCAGGACTTTATGCCTCAGCAAGAGGCATGTATTGCTAGATAATTGGCACGTAATCTATAACGAGAGGCAAGAGCCATTGGCATCACCAAAGATTCTTCAGTTATGCATTAACGTTTTTATAAATACAGTGGAACCTCGTTAATCCGGTTATCAACCGACCACAAAAATCTGGCCTTATTAACAGAGTGGCCGTATTAAATGGGTTCTTTAAATAATAAAATGACTGACTGAGCTTTTGTTCGGGCCAGAATAAAGTGACCGTCATAACGAGGTGGCCGTATCAACTGGTAGGCGGGATTCCACTGTATCCCTGGCATACTAAAATGGAGAAAAGCACGTTTCATATTTAAAAGGGTGCTAGTGACCTTAGCGAACAAATAGCGACAAATCTTTCAGCAGTTACCTAAAATGACCTGAAATCTCCCCCCAAATGCTTAATAGAATGCAAGACACCCATGACACCCATGCAAGAATATCCACCGAGCCGCCCGAATTTTAATTTCTGACTAATTCGCTCTCACTCAACCGTCAGAAATCACATTTCATGACAAACTATATTTTTAAAAGACGCTTGCAATTCTGCGCCATTGACACTTCGAATGCAAAGATTAATTTTAGCAACGTCTTCAAATGTAAACACAGATACCGATGACATACAATTTTTTTGTTTTATAAGCGCGGCATCGCCGAATTTCGTTACCGACGCGAGCTCTATGAACGTAAAACCTCTTTTCAGTTCTTAATGCGTCTTTGGCCACATGCACCGAATATAGACAAGGACACGACCACGACCACAGGAGGGGGACATTGTCAGCATGCAACTGACGCGAACGCCGCATGAAATACCTGACCAACCTCTGAAATAAAGAGTTTCATTCGCTTAACGCAGCATGGTACGATCATATTTGTTTTTTCACTTATTCTAATAACGAAAGTTTAAGGAAATATCTCCATAAATAATTGACTAATTTAACTTTAAATAAATGCGGTTTGACCGATTATTGAAAATGGGCCGGAATAGAAAATCACAGCTTTGAAATGACGCGCACAGTTATCTATAGATTGTGCCAAAAAGCTATTCTTTTTATATAACATTTCTCTGTGAGCTGGCTACGGAAGAAAACAGTTTACAACAGCATTTGGCATTTCGCTAAGAATTTGACAAAAGTAAAAAGAAACTCAAATAGCCGCATTACATTTTTCAACCATTTTTCTCTCCGATATCAGCGGTTTTTTTTCAATAATAACCTCATCGGATCCCCTCCCCCTCCCTAAACAAAAGCGCGATTTAACGAGCAATGCTTTGTTACAGATATGTAATAAGTGCAGGTGTCCCAAATATTGGCAAAGCTAACGTTGGTTACAGATTACAAAGTGATTTATTTCTCCGTTGTATTGGTGGCACATAAATCTTCCACCATTTCAGTCTCAGAAGTTAGAGATAAAGATTCTCCCAAGTTATTTCCGCCTATTTTTATATCATCATGTTACTATGTCGCATTAGTGATTTTCAACATTTTCCTACGCTTTCCACTAGAAAATTACTCTCTCTGTAAGGAGAAATTGTACCCTAAGCAACATTGGGAAAGTTAAAATGGAGTTGGTTGAAAATCTTGAACTCATTGTGGATCCCATAAAAAGAATACTCCACTTCTGCAGAGACACAGGGGATAACAGATCAAGAATATTTAAGACCCTTTTTATGGGAACTCAAAACAATTTGTTGTGTGGCTTGCGTGAAATATTTATAACAAACATGAACATTTCTGTCAAAATAATAATTGCAAAATACGATCATTATCTCCACAGTGTGATAGGTTGCGCTTGTTAGCTTCCTTTAAATTTTTAAACGAAATCAGTGCTGTTAAACCGATCTGAGAGTTTTTCAGTTTTTTTTTTTGTTACTAGGTTGCGGTTTTTTCAGGAGGTTTTTAATGGTCGTGCATTTATATTTTAAAGGAAAACGTATTGCTCCAGTACGTTTTGCTATGATCATTAGTGCGATAGCTTCTAACTTAGGAATTGGCTCAAGCTGCAACGAGGAAATTGAGCAACAATGGATTACTATGTGACTTCGTTACTTGGAGCCTACTCACAAGACAATCCGCTAAATGCAGAAATAATAACGTCTACAGACCTCAGAGCCTCTCAGAGAAACTACAATAGGGTTTTACACCAGCTTATTTTAAAAAAGAAGGGAAAATTTCAAAGGAGGGCAATTTAAAAATTGGTGATGAGCCTTGCCATAAATAAATTATGCGCATCGTATGGAAAAGCTCGTCGACCAATGGGAGAGCACGCTTTTGTATAATTATGAAAGAACGGCTTGAAGACATTGAATTGCAATACGCCTCCACGGGGTAAATATTTGCCATATTTCAGCTCCTCTGGAAATTCACTTTATTGAGTGCTTCTTAATGAGACATCCGTGTTAAAAATTACCGGTTTTAAGACCTCTTTGAATTCTTGACAAATTTGCGAAAATTAACTCACAGCAAGCAGCGCCATCATTTCATTAAATAGTTATTAGTTGAGAAAAATTAAAAATTCTCCCAAAGCAGAGCTGCTCTCTCTCTCTCAAAAAAGAAAAAATAAAAAAATAAAATAAAATAAAATAGTAATAATAATAAATGACATAAAATGATCGATAGATTCCAGGTAGCTTTGCAAACAGTAAACTGTTGTATATCTAGGAAAGCAAATAAAAAGGAAATACTGGGGGGCAAAGTAAAGGCATTAGATGCATGTTATAAATTTATGATCGGGATTTTCGCCCTTAAATCATTTAGCATTTTCTAAACAAAACAATTCTCCTTTTGTGATTGCTGCATAAGTAAAACGAAAAACACTACGCGAGAGTAGATCCATATAATAATATTCACAGCCAAGTTAACTATTGAAAGCGTTTTGGTTCGGAATAACAGAATGTCTCTCGACAAAAAAATTGCTATAGTAGGCACATTAGAACTAATTCACAATATTAAAATGACTGTTTTGCGTGTGATCCTCAAGTTGCGCGATCTCTGGACCTCAAGTAACACATAATATGCGGTGTTTGATCGCCTGGCGAACTGAATAAATAAACATTCTCTCAGTTACCAGCTCTCAAAGGTAAACTTGAGTACGTCGATCCATGATGTTAAAAATTCTGAACGCGCTAACATGATTTCCAGGGAATTGGCTTCGCGGGAAAATTTAACTTTTTCGCGGGCGAAAATGACGCGCTTTGATTCACCAAATAAATTTTAGGAGCTTTATTTTTTTATTATTTATAGCGAATTTTACCTCGTTGCCTGTTTCCTGCAGGAGCGTTTGTAGAAATTGGTCGAGTTCGTCCGCCTCGATGTAGCCATTGCCTGAAACAGGAAGAGGAGGTGAGGAATGGTTGGCGTGTATTTATAAGACGAGAACTGATCAAAACACGATTCAAGCTACCGCAATGACGATAGAATATGGTATTTACAATGTTCATATTCTTACCGTCTTTATCAAATTCCTTGAAGACTTTGACGAATTCTTCTGACGTAAGTTTCGTATCGGCGTTAAATTCAAGCATACAACCTTTAGTGCCTGCCATGTTCGTTGCCCGCAAGATCAAAATAACATTCGCTTGAATGAGGACCGGCCTTTATTATTATCTACGAGTTCGACGCATGCGCACTAACGGCTTTGGGCACATCGGCCGATAATATTCAAATTTACGTCTGGACGTGCAAAACAGGTGTAATGACCGAGGCAAACAAAAACCTTGATGGAAGAAGAATTAAGCGAAATTACAAGGCTTTTCGTCGGACTAGACTTACTTAATGGCTGCTCTTAGAATATCCCTGAGATCAGGTGGAGATTTATGCGGAAAAATCCATTGGTTACCGACAATATGGTTTTAGAAGAGATATGCTAAAAAAGGTAAAAGATAAAGCAACACACATCAAAGAAACTCTGTTTTGAGTCTAATGCAAATCAGATATGCATATTAACTTGCGAATCTCTCGAAGATTCACGCACAATATTGCATTGAACAAAAGCTGTGGATTCATATCACTCTATATGTGCTCGTTTAAATCTTTTTTTCGTAAAAGTGTCAAAAGTGCTTTTGCTTTTAAATGGTTATTTTCTTACTGTTTAGCGCGGTGGACGCCAATATCGTGAAATATGTTTGCGATCAGTTTTAGGCATGTATTTAAATCATTTGCATAATTCATGACTCGTAATATTTATTTCGGAAGCAAAACGAAAGCGGAAATGTTGTCTCCTGTAAAAGTGTTCACGTTCCGCACTTTTTACTAGAGCAGTCTGAAAATTTTCCAACGTTACGCCAGGCACTCGACATTTAGAATATAAATTTAATTTCTCAAGGAGATAAATTGCATTGCGGTAATTTTCTACAGTGTTGACGGTTAAATTTATGGTGAAGAAAGGTTACGACATTGGGAAATATAGATTTAACTCGATCTGAATTAACTAGATAAGGGTAACAACGAAAAACAAAAACAAGACAAAAAACAAAAACAAAAAAGAAAACGCACAAAAATATCTGCTCGACGAGTTTAACAAATAATCAATTAAACTTTAAATTGATATCTTTTGAAAACCTTAAGCAGTGCGAAGTGCGAAGGAAACGTTGACAAACGGAGATAATGAAAACCGCATAAACCATATGGCAATGGGTAAAACAAACCATAACTTCTGAAAAGCATAGTTTTCTTCGTAAAGGATTTGAAACCCGCTATCTCAGCCGAAATTTATCAAGGAAAAGTTAATTGCCTTTTAGTCGGATTTTCCTCGCCTCTTTTATGTCCAATTATCTAAAGGAGATTTGTGAAAAACAACTAAAATTATTTTAATTTTTTGTTTTTGGCATGAGAGGTTGTTGTGATTTTTACCCTTGCACTTATATAAGTGATCGTGACAACTGGGCATTTCGCATCTTTGGTTCTGCATATGAAATAACAGTTAAATAGTTAAAGGGGACAAAGCGGCTGCCACGAATTTATTATCTATCATCTCATATCTACGAGCTTTAGTGGAAAGAAATGTTTATTCTTTAAGCTACAGGTTATATTTTTGGTTTCTTTGATTAAGGAGCATTCAGTTAACTGAGTATGAAAGTTTTGTTCCATCCTATAGCTATAGGCTGGCTGAAAGCGAGAATGAGGAGAATTAAAGGATCACAGTTTGGGCAGAGTACCTTTTAAATATCATCGACTATTGTTAGCGACAGTCACACAAGTTCAGAGGGTGCACGAGTGTCGGAATCCTATGCCTCAGTGTCAAACGAGCGAAATCTCTCGTCGACGCTCATGAAAATCTGAGCATCATTGTTCCGGCAAATTAGACGAATTTCCATGAGAGTCGATGCTAGCCGTAACTCATACTGAGAGCTGGCGATCAAACAAGAGCCGGCGAACAAATAACTGAGGGACTGGCGATCAAATAAGAGCTGATATGATCAAATAAGAACTGTCGATCAAATTATGTAGAGTTTGATGGTGAACGAAAAAATAATTATTTCTTGGGCTTCCGGATTAACCGGTGGTCAGAGCAAGTCGGTTAGGGAAGGAGTTTTAAAACAGGACGATTGTTTGAAGGGATCCCCTCACGTTGTTTAAAAAAAAAAGACAATATTCGTCAATATTATTGTTCAGTCGACTTGTAAGATTAAACGAGATAATTGTGACCCCCAAAATTAAATCTTTAGTTGTCTCTTCGGAGATAGATGTCAATTTCAGTCAGTCTGCTTATAATTAAGTTATAAAATCGGATGTGATGTCTTGATTTCAAAACTTGAAAAACAGCTATTGAGTCAACAATACAGGAATTTATCAACAGAAAAGCTGCAAATGCTAGGCTGCAAAAAAGCTGGCGCAGTGAAGTACAAATTTAGACTTAATTCCACTCCCGTCAGTTTAAGCATTTGTTCTTGAGTATTGGCCCTTAAAGGAATTACGTTTGGCCCTCAAAGGAATGGCAAGCGTTAATAAGATAGTTACTGCATACACTGTACATGTATACGAATGAGACGAAAATGTTTATCATGTTTGTGAAAGGAATCATATTAAATTGGCTCCAGATCGTATTGAAATTGTACGTAACATCATTTATTTATTTCTATATTGGAATTGCGGTTTAAACATGAAATGAATGAAATAATCTGCCCAGCGTGAAAACAATAAAATTAAAGCACTTGCATTTCTATAGCAATTAACAAAGTCAAGGCTTCAACGGCAATCGAGCTGCAATTTGAAGCAGGTAGTCTTAAGACATTGGTCTTATTGGCCAATTGCAGGTTATGTTAGAATCTTTCATATTTAAGTTGGTGTCAAAGTGAATCTGTCAATCATAATTCAGTGGCTTGCTGTGAACTGTGTTTGATTTTTGGTGTTACAGTAGTAGTTTGGTGATCAACAGCTATCCAAAATTACTGCCTGTCAAAATTGAGGGACATGAGTGGTTAAAATTCAACTGGGATTTGGCTATTTTTATCACTGGCAAGATAGGATTTGAGTCGATAGGAATGGGAAAGGAATTTGAGCAAAAATAAAATATAATGAGCTACAAATGAAATGAAATCGAATCAACTCATATCAAATAGAATAGAATAAAATAAAATAAACTTGTATGAAGATTACACAAGTTATGAGTTTTTAGGCAATCAGAATGCGACGCCTTTTCTGAGCTGTTCCGGAATGACTGTTTCAAAATTTTGTAAAAGAAAAAAAAAAATTGCAAGAAAAAGAAATTGCAAGAAAAAGAATTAACATTGAATAGTTAGTTCGACAGCTTACCAGCACAGTTGACTGTTGTAATATTGATAACTTGGATTTATTAAAAGCCGGAGAGGATATGTTCAGCGACACCGACAATTCCCAAGAAAAGGAAAAAGAAACAAAACAAACTGACAAAAACAAACAAAACAAAAATCAAACCAAAGCAAACCAAACGAAACCAAACAAAACCAAACCAAACCAAAAACAAGAACAAAAGAACGCATGTGCAGCAACATTATGTCTTTAACACTGGGTTCAAAGAAATGAAAGTTTCGTCTTTCATGAGACTTCGTCCCAAAAAAAGCGTTTCCCTATCTGCTCCACCTTTCTAATTGCTAAGTTTTCCTTGATTTATTGGTAACTAGAGAAATGCGCTTATGTTTAATTGCATCTGGACTCCCTCACATCAGTCGTCTGGAGCCATTTCTTCATTGCTACTGCCCACATATGGGCTACAGTACAGGGGACTCAGACATCTGTCTCTCCACTTCAACAATTTGTGGATGCCTTGGACGCACGCCTCAAAAACTCACTGCATCAACATTTTCAAAGCTCAAAATTTGCCATTTCTAATAGGATTTCATAGTTCGAATTAGAATTCTCCGCCACTTACAAAAAGAGAGAAATGGATTCAGTTACAGTGAAACCTCTTTTTAATGGACACCCTCGGGACCTTCCCTGGTGTACGTTTAGGTATTTACGTAATAAAAGTTTGGTAACTATGGTCGCAATTGTATTGTAAGCACCGTACTCCCTTGTGTTATTTCAAACAATAATAATAATAATAATAATAATAGTAATAGTAATAATAATAACAATAATAACAATAATAACAACAACAACAACAACAACAATAATAATATTAATAACAATAATAATAATAAAACTATGGTCACACAATAGTTGTTAACGATTAACATTCAATAATTTCTACATTATTAACTTCCAGATTGTTAACCGCGCTATCCTTTCAAATGTTACGACTCCTTAAAATTTTCAATGTAGTATTGGACGTAATCTGATACTACATTGCAAATTCAGTCTGGAGTCTTCTTAACAGAGGTGTGAATAATTAGTTTTAAATGTGACAAACCTCCAGCTAAGATGTTTGTCGAAATAATAGTAAGAGTTAAGCTTGGTCAATAAACTGGAGACAGATTTATCGATGAACTTGAATTTATTAAATATTCATTTGAACAATTTTCACTTTATTCACGTTATTTTCTCTCCTTCGAATATATTACACTGTATATCCTCTTTAAACCAATATAAATATCTTTTATACCATTTTAATCGACTGACCCAATAAATGACTGACAGAAAGACGGATGGACAAATGAACGGACGGACGGACGGACTGCAGACTGACCCTTCCTAAAACTTACTGGGAATATGCTTTCCATTAATAACACAGAGCATTTCAGCTTCAAAATTTTGTCGTATCCAAAATTGGAAAGACCAACCCCTCAAATAAAGTACAGAGTGCTCTTAGGAGGCAATGAAACGAAAGCTTCCTGGAAACCTTCTACCTTACTGCGACACGCCTTGCAAATAATTAAAAAAATGAAAGATAATGACTTTGTTGATCGAGGTAATCAATATTAAGCTATTTCGTTCTTTTTTAAGTTGAGGCAGTTGTATTCAGTTGTCAGATCAGACTCTCGTTAAAAGATAAAATTCAATCTACGTGTATAATAATACAAATTCGCTGATTTCTATCACATTTGTTTGTTAGGTTTTCTACCATTAAATTTAACGTAACTTAAAGCTTGGAATAGTATAATGAAGTTATTTAAAACATATCATTGAGACGAGACGTAAGTCACATGACTCACAGAGGTTCTTGTATTATTTACAAGTAACCATCAATACACCGATCAGAATATTAAATAAATAAAATAACTGAACAACGAATTTTAAAAAAAATGTCATTTAGTAGGCATCGGAAAACCAATTAAAGTGTCTACGAGCTTTGCGCTTCTTTTTCACGCCAATGGGTTTGATCACGTTTTCAGCAAAGTCCCAGCTAGTCCCAGGCTCCTGATGATGTACAGCTTCCCGTTTCCGAGTAGTACTGGCAAAAAGCTAAAGAAGGCAAATGATACGTTGTTTGGTTGATTGACTAAATGATTGAATGAATGAAACTTACAGTAGCTTATGAAGAACACTCTTACATGTCTTGACAATTCTTCTAAATTGTTCGATCAGACACACACAGAACACTTCTTTTTTCTTTGTCATTCATGCGAACAAGTGGATTTTCTATCAGTAAAGGAATTACTTGGAGTGTTACCTCGTCTCTTTGATCACGCGATATTGGTGAGGAAGTATTATCAGATTGCTTTGCTTTGTTCTCGCCAGGAACCTAGAAAATAAGTCAGAATGATATATATTTTTATACCGCTGTTTTACACATAATTACACGTGGCTTGAAGATATGAATTTTCTCGTGTTAAAAACAGTATTTTGCTCACTCGCTACGTTCGTTCGTAAAATACTGTTTTACGACTCGAGAATAAAATTCATATCTTCGCACAGCCGTGAAATAACCTCTATATATTGACTGGTGCGATAACTTACAAGTACCTGATAAGAAGGAAGAGAGGCAAAGTTTGGGGTGCTCAAAGTACGAGGCTCTTCCATGGAAATCTCCAGCATACTTGGACTGTTTTCGTCACGATCTTGTGGACTCTTCAGGGACTCTAATAAGTAACAAAAATTGTTATTATTACACATTTTGAGCACTTGGTTGAGAGCATACAGCTTATTTACACTAGCATCAAAGTATGACTTCCTCTGCAGGCGGTTAACGATTATTTTACAAAAACAAAATCAAAACCAGTAGCTTCCTGCAATAAACCAGCACATTTGCCTCGAAGCTTCGCTTCTCAGGCAGAGATTTGTTTAATTTCCGCGGGGTAACTATCAGTCGAGAATTCCTTATACATACAGAATGATAAATGATGTCAGAGGCTGCCTCCAGCAGTAACAAAATCTAACATCTGATACTGCGGGTCCGTAACAGGTAAAAGTTTTGGTACGAGGCAAGTGGCCCAGGCATCAGGCCGGCGCTTGTGTCCGGTTTCAGTAGCATGAAAATTGAACCAACTAGGAGTATTTCTACTACCATGGCATGGTTACCCCCAGCATTAAATTCACCGGTACCATTAATACACCCAGGTAGAGAGAGGCACTGTGAGAGCAAATTGTCTTGCCCAAGAACACGACACAGTGTCTTCAGCCAGGACTCGAACCCGGACCGCTCGATCTGGAGACGAGCGCATTAACCATGAGGCCACTGCGCCTCCATAACAGCTACGTCCGTTTAAATCTGAACACCAGGGACCATTCCTATTGCCTTACCTGTTGATCCGGATGTATCAAGAAAGAGAGGGTCTTGTTGGGTATACAGATCTTCAGACTTTATTGACTACAAAGGAAAATGATCTAATTATCTAACCGCTTTAATTTAGACCAAGGGCTGCTTGGAATTCACTTACTGCCGAGACACACTCATTAACTATTAGCTGAGAAGCGTTCTTTTAAAAATTTATAACCAATGGCTGAGATATGTTTGTAGCCCTTTCTTGTAGGCTTTAGGCCAAGGGTTTGTCTGGGACGCATGTATAACTAAGACACACCCATGATGTTGGCTATTAGCTGAGAAATGTTTTTTTAAATTTCTTACTAATAGCTAAGATGTCATTACTGATATAGTAATTTCCTGTCATATGTCACTCCTGAAGTTGTTAAATTGAGCCTAAATTTATGCTATACTTTACAAAAGTACAATCATTGCCGCATCGTTTGATGATAAAATATATATATATATAT